TCATATCAATTTACTTTATTTGGTTTAACTAATCATTGGCAATTGTAACACTTTCAATATTGATTAATTGTTCAGCTGAAGAAGACAATGCCGGCTGGTGAGAATTATACTACAGTACTTGAAATTATTCTTCCCTTGTTTGATTGAAAAGGAAAGTCCAAAGAAGTGCAGATTACTGCAGATATGGCATCACGAGATTAAATCCGAGATTTAAAAAATTAGAATTTGTACGCGTAAGTCAAGTGAAGTCAAAAAGTTTAAAAAAAAATTCGTGCGGTGAGCTGTCTTATATAGAATTCATCACCCAGTTGTCAAATTCGATCCTCATGATTGGTTTCCGCCTTTATTGCAAAATATCTCAGCAATTTGCATTTTCGTGGTGCAATCCCATCGCATATAGCCAATTTCTCTTCCCCGGACCTTGGAAACTGGGATTTAATTACGTGTACCTCTTTTCGCTCCTTATTTTTATGTGCTGTAATGTAATGTTTTAATTTCAAAAGTTTTTCTTTTCAATTTATCGGAGAATCTCCATTAAAAATGGGAAAAATCACTGTGTCGGTGAGGTTATAATTTCGTTGCAGTGGTGCTTCATGTTGTTGCTTAACATTCCGTAGTTTATATTTGGCAAAAAAAAAGGGACTCGGAGTCACCTCAAACATCATTGATATACTTTTTAACTTCGAACCCCAAAAAAATGAGACTGGCTCTCAAGCCATTCTCACTTTAAAATTATTCCAATTAAGTTCATCATTCAATTATTTGGAGAATGATCACAGTTGAGGCTAATTCTTTATTTTGGGATGATCAACATTCCAGAAATTCTGAATGAATAACCAAGGAAGAATGCCATGTACTTCAAAAAGAGGGTTGGGATGAGGTTCTTGGAAAGTTTGATTCCACGCATCTGTTGATTTCTCTGTAGCAGTCACAAACAAACACAAATTTCCGCGACTTCCCTACATTTCAAACTTTTTTTTTCTTCAAAAAGTTGCGTTTTTCTCGAGTATACAGTATAGTCGGAATGCAAAAAAAAGATTTGAATAAGAGTATATTTGAGCTTTTCGGTCCTAATGTCTTCGAAACTTGGCTATAGAAAAGCTAAACAATTGAAAAAACTATTTACTGTTTTTTGTTATACTATTCTTTGAAGCTAGAAACGCTTAGAAAATACAAAGATAAAAAATTTACTGTATCTCATGTTCTTTATATCGCCCTACACATTAACAGTCCCATAGAAAATTAGTTGCGTGTAGAATATTGTTGAAGACCTAAGCTTATTTTCAAAGGAAATCTCTGAAGAATAGCGATTCCCCTTCATTTCATTGCGAGATACGTCGCCTTAATTTTCTGTTGTCCTGAATTTTGATCAGCCTTGTTCATGGACCTGCAACGCATTTAAGCAATGAAATTACTATCTGTTATTACAAATTGCCCGAAGATTCCCCGCTAACGACTCAAGCGTGATCCTATTCACGGTCATGTTTTCCACGAAAAGATAAAGTTTCACGCCTTGATGCACCGTTGATGAAAATTAGTACTCATTTGAAAGCAAGAATACTTTCGCCCCCGATTTTCCCACGGAATTCCTCAGGCAATACTACACATTTTTACTAGCCAGTGAACTTTGGCGTAGAACCTTGACGAAAGCTCTGGAAAGGCGATTTCACGGAGTGTTGCAGCCGAGGATTTTTCATCAGCCAACAGCTGGAAGTGATGTGAGGGTGGCCAACAAGAAACTGGCGAAGAGCGGTTAATTATATTTCGGGAATGGATCTTATATCATTCTCTGACCTGATTCATGGGCCCCTATCAGCGCTAATAGTGGAACGAATCGTCCTAATCTCATGACCCCTTCTCTTGGACTGAAAAAAGGCCATGCTTGATTTTTAGGCAGAATTTATTTGAGCCATTTGTCATGGCGATATGTGCAATGAGTTAAGAACCGAGGAGTGAATTCAAGAACCTAGCCAATATAAAAGTTTGATTCAGTTTCAGTTGAAAATAAAAAACATGATTGTGTACAGAAATATAAAAAAGACTAAGTTCTTCAATTTTCAGAGAATTGCAGAAAGTCATATGCGTCGACTCTCCTAAATTTGAATGAAAATTTTCGTCTTTCTGGGTGGTCTAAAATTTTACCCCACGCGAAAAAATTACGCGTCAGTAATTCAATAGACTGGTGGGAAAATTCAGAAGGCTTTGAACTATAAGTATCGAAAACTGGAAATTTAAAGTGGAAATTTCAGAAATTGGTAGGTTATATTTTTATTTTAATAATTTTTTATGTTCACATAGATTGCGGTTAAGGTCGTAATATCGCTTGATAAGTGAATATCTCTCGACAGTAAATAGAGTCGTTTTTGCAGTTCGGTATTTCAAGATCATCATTCGACAAAATAATGCCTTTAAAATTTTTTTTTTACATTTTGTCTCCACCTTATTCAATAAAGTTTCTTTGAAATGTATATAAAAATAATAGTTCGTTTTATATGCATCAGAAAGTTTTCATTTTCAGCTGGCAAAAATGACATGGAATCATTTTGCAGTTTGGTATTTCAAGTTCGTTTGAAGAAATAAACATTAATTTTTTCATAATTTTTTCTCCTCCTATAGTTCCATGAAGTTTCTCAAAAAAGAAAAAAAATGGATAGTTCGCTTCATATATGCGTCAGCAGGTTTTCAATTTCAGTTGGAAGATCAAAAAAATAATTTGCGTGCAGGCATATGCAAAATTAACGTCGATTCTTGCATTTGTTATGCTTACTTATACATTACTTTGCTGTTCTGCATACATTTCGGAAACCTTTTCTAATTCATCAATCATGAAACTGATCCTTCAACCCGTGTCAAAAAATCGCGTCAAATTTCGAATTAGTTTTGTCACGTACGGTGCATTTGACGAAGATTGAAAACTCGGCTTCCAACCAGCAGATACAAAGATTAAAAAATTCGGACGACCTGTCAGCGTTTTATTTCCCGGTGGGCCAAAAAAAATAAGAGGTCGTGCGCCTTCGAAAGTTACAAAACCCCCGCACATAACTTGTCATTTCTGACGCGACTTGAAATAAAGGAGGGAGAAATTTCAGCGGCGAGCCAAATAAATTGCGACTTATTCCCGCTTCACTTGAACGTTAAGCATCTGCATGCGAAAAAAAGCGCTATATCCGCGCCTAGTACAGCGACGGTTTATCAAAAAGTTTTTCAGGATCCTCAGCATTTGGAAGGAAGAAAATAAATCTGCGTCAAAATCTGTAAAGAGATTTTTCCTTCACTTTCGTGTTATAAAGGGTTGCTTGAAAAAAATGGGAGCGACTTTGATGCTTCGTCTGTATCAAGAGGACAATTATTTTGAAATTGGGTCGTTATTTATTTAATATGACCATGTTATGGCACTACAGTACTGTAGTTGTCTTGGTATGACCACCATGACCATTGGACAATACAATGAAAATAAAGTTCTACAAGCCTTCTCATCTATTTTATTTGCTTCACAAGCTTTATAAATTCAAGAATACTAAATTGTGTTTTCAATGGCCGGTAGCCTTGGAAATTTTTTCCGTGGGCCTCAACTTTAAAATATGTCGATGTCAAAACGGTGAATGAATCAAAAATTAAAATAAGATTCATCCCATGCGGTAATGGAGTTGAAGGAAGGCAAATCCACTCAGACCATATTCAGATACTGTATTCAAATCAAATTTTCCGTTTTTAAGGACTTCGTGTTATATATCAAAGTAGTTATAATTTATAGATTTATGCATTGACTGACGGAATTCAAATGCTGAGATACTCTGTAGGAGTATGTGACCGTTTTCTCAAAAATTGACATCACTAAAATGTTCAAATCGATACATTAAATCTTTTATTGGGCATCATTCGGAAATTAAATTGAATAAAAAATTCCCATTCCTGCATGAAAGCGGAGCGAATCTTTTAGAAGGTATCATTCTCGAAGAAATATTTACCGAAATTTGAAATACCGTATTAAATTGCTCACGATCGGTATTTACGCAATTTTCACTCATACACGAATTCCGCGGAAAAAATTTCCCAGATAAAAAAAAGGTGTCCTCGTTTATGTTGGTTGTGTGACAAAGCTTTTTGTCTGTTGAGAGATCTAATTTTTCTTTCCGAACGTTGAACATCAGTCCCCACTGTTTCCTCTCCCTCTTCTTCACTTCACCCCAACTATTTATCTCATTTTTTTTGGCTGCCTTGTATGCTTTTCACTGCTCCCGAGGGATTGAGTTACAATTCGATTTACGCGCCCCTTGATGCAATATGAGGAGAATGCGCCTTTTTTTTTTGCGAGATAAATACCCAGGCTTTGTTTGCGAATGCCTCGAATACTTTCGGAGGCAGGTTCGAGTTTGCACAAGTCCCCGAGGGCATGTTGACTCGCTTTTCAGTCCGTCAAGGATGTCATTTTTTTGTGCATAAGTCGAAATGAAGCGTGTAAGACGAGGAATGTTGTCTGTTTAGTGCCCAACAGCCATTCAAAAATATTTCTGGATGTGGTACTGGGTAAACCATATAAACATGTTAAAGCTGTTGTTTATTCTCAACAAGTCTGAGGGTTGACTTATGTTTTGAAGATGTTGCTTCCTTCAAATTGATTTTGAATGATGTCAAATTTTTGTTATTTAGTCTCATTGCCGTCTTCATAGACATACTTATCAAACAAAGATCTTCTGTAATAGAGTTGCCATATGCTTTATGAGGGCTGAAGAGATTCGTAGGAAGGTTGTCCTAGTCCCGCGTGTCTTAAATAATGACTTATTGCAAGCGGGAAACCAAGAAACAAAATCCAATGACTACAAGTGACTTTTAGAGTTTTATTTGTAATCGAAAACACGTTTCCAAGCTGTTTCTATGATTCATCACTGCTTAAAAAGAAGTCATCCTTTTTTAAATCACAGGTTATTTGGCAAAAGTTTGAATTTGCGTTGTATAATAATCGAATTAGGCTGCAAAAGATTTAAAATAAATTAGACAAATTAAAGAAATCGCCACAAAAGCATTGCCTGTTTTCATTTTCCACGAAACAACCGAAAAAATTTCTTTTCCTCGCCGTAAAAAAACAAAAACAAACGGTTCACGACAACCTACCAGCATCTCATACCTTTCCAAGTCCAACAATTTCAATGATTACGACGACTGACAGATTCGACAAGAAAAAACACAAACTATTGAAAGATTTTTTCCTGATGCTTGCAAAGTTCTCTTTGCAAAAGTGAATGATCCACTCACTGACGCGAAATAACGATATGCTCTTTCGAAAAAAAAGAGGAACCGAAACCCGAAAATCCATCGTTGAGTTCAGGAAGCACTTCGGTTGTAAGCTCATAGTAAAAAAAAATCGAACTTCTCTTCGGTCTGAATTTAAATAGCCGTCAATCATTTTAGTTTTAAATACAATACGTCGTATGAGTACCCATAAAACAAAGGTCGAGCGCTCAGCTATCACATTTGTAACGACGAAAGCGAATTAAATACTCATTTCGTCTTTTGCTTTCCAGAAATTTCTTTGTTCGATTACGAAAGACGTTTTCAAAGTTTTCGTGCAGTTCACGGAAATGAAGTCTCTTCATAATTTTGAACAGAAAGAAGGACGAAGGGCATCTCAAAAGTTTTCCGAATTACCAACAAATCATCATTGCAGCTGGTTAAAATATGGTAAAGGCATCTCTTTGTCAGCAAACAACTAAGTGTTTGTTTCAAAAACCTCATGTTATTCCACCAAATCTAAATAAATACATTTGCTGCGTTTCCTTTTGTGCGTGAGAAAAAATTTCCAATACTTTCTGCATCATCTTCCATATTAAATAACCCAGAAAACTACAAGTAACGCAATGGAAAAAAATGATCCCTGTCTCTCGGTAAAAAATAATGAGATATTTGCTCCCTTTTTAAAATTTCCAGTGAATTCGAAAGAACCCTCCGTATCGATTTTTTTCAGCATGCAGGAGTGGACATTTTCCAAGTTTTTCAAATATGTAAATTAGGAGGCCCTACGAATAATTTCTAATTGCATTCCTGATTAAAGTTTTCAGATTACCATAAAATTTCTTCACGCATTACAAATTTACCACACCAGATATCTTCTGTCCGCAATGAAAACTCGTTGGTCATTTCCAAAACTTGAGAGAAACCCTTCGCATTCCAAAAACTGGCTTCAGCCTCTTGACTAAAAAATGTTTTGAAAAAAAAGCTCAAAAACAAATGCGAGGTCTTCATGAAAATTCCATTAGTTTTAACGTTGAGGGCGAAGAGGAAAAACAAACTAAATAAAACCCCGGACGAACTATGATGAACTTGACACACGTGTCACACAACAAACCTCCAGCTTTTTTTCTTTTTCCTCCAACGGGAGAAACAAAAAAAACTTGCTCAAACTTGAGCCTCAGGAACAAACGCGTCACTGTCTCTCAAATTGCTGGCAGTGATGAAATTTTTCGGGTCATTTGTCGACAGCGGTGACGTCGGCGACGTGTAACTCGGTGGCTGCTTATTCACACCCGGCGACACAGTTGACGTCGCGAGCATCGACACCGATCCTGTCGACGCGGCATCGGGTCTGCATTTGTTGCTGTTGCTGATATTTTTGCTGATGGGTCCTGACTTGATGCCATGCAGTCCCGTCGAGACAGAATTTGCGTTTTGGGGACATTCCCCCAAGGAATAACCCGGAGTTTGCGGTTGTGCAGACGGAGACTTCCTCACGGACTTCGGCCTTTTCTGCATCACGCTCTTGAAATAAAATGATAAACATGGCGGGTTTCGTGAACGGTTTTACATACAGTAATCTTCCCATTCGAAATGAGGACTTTTTCCTATCTTCTTGCAACACTCCACAGAAAATTTGAAGAAAAAAAAAAAAACAATCCGAAAATACCTTTTACAAATTCCAAGCGAATCTTCAGGTTTACAGTGTCGCGATGAACAGTTACATAGAAAACTTCAAGATTGGAACAACTGTATACCATCACTTTCAGAAATGAAAAATTGAAAAGCGTTAAAAGTATAGTATATTTTACAGCAAGTCGAATGTTTTTTTGAGTTGCATTCGCGTGAAAAACACGAGCCTTCAACAAAACGAAAGAAGCAATTCGAAAGGGGATTTTTTTTAAGGGTTGTGGAATTCATTCAGAGATTGTCCCGATGGCAGGCGACTATACATCATTCAATTAGGCACCACTTTTTCATCATTCAGACTAGATATATACCAAAGAGTTCATCGAGATTTTTCGTACAATTTTCGAACATGTAAGAAGAAAATAGAAACGGGACTCACTTGGACGAAGAAATCACTGGCGTCGCTTTTAGCGTAATCGCCATCCATGAACAGAGAAACCCGTTTCGGGCCGAGACTGCCGCCACTGTTGACGGACGCCTCGCCGTCGTCGCTGAATCCGCGATCCTCGCCGCCCAACGAAAGAATCCCGGCGTACGACTCCTCGTCGTCGGACATGGCGCCGTAATTGGACACACTTTCAAGGTCCGAGTACTCATGGGCGACCCGAGAGGAATCTTTCAAAAATCATGCATGAAAAATAAAAATAACCACCATATTTTTCCGTCTAAATAACTATAATACAGTACAAATGTCTTTTTCCAGAAAGGCATAGTTTACTTGAATTCGATATTTACTTGAATTCTGCTGAACCCAAAAAGCGACAATTCTAGCTCAAGTTTCGTTTGCAGTAAATTTGGAATCGAGAAAATCGAATCACATTAATTTTTTTCTTCTGTATGGACAGTGTAATTCAAATAAGAGCAGGAAGATTCCCAGAGCAAATTGTTAGAAACATATTCATTCATATCACAATTTCGTGAAAATTTTTGAAATTGTGACGATTTATCATTGGAATATTGTGTTCTTATTTTCAAACCATTGCTTTTCAGCCATTCTAACTTGAACACAGTCGAAATCTCAAATAAATCTCAATTGTGACTACATTTTTCTGCCGCCTTCAAAATGACAGATGAAAGGGCTTATTCATTTCTAGATTACCTAAATTTTTGCTTCTCTCCGTGGGCTGTTCACACACAGCTTGATGAAACAATGGAGAATTTACAATGGCGGATAAAAAAAAAAAAAAAACTCACCGAACAAAGGATTCGATGCTCGAAACCTCGAACGATTGGCAGCTTGAAACTCCATGCGTTTCTGATTCTCCCTCCGCTCCTCGGCCTCAAACTCTTTCATCATCATCCCCTGCTGAGCCAAGTAAGCTTGAATCATCGGGCCAAACATTTCCGAGCGATTTGTCAACTGCTGTTGCTGTTGATGTTGCTGTTGGGCTGTCCCACTGTCGCCAGTGGGAATCTGATACGTCATCATGGCCGGCGACCTTCGTCGACGCGACGATGGCGGCTCTCTGTGGGACGACCCCGGACTGCCACTGTTGCTTCCTGTCCCCGTGATGGCGGACGTTGACGCGAAACGAGTCGCGTTTGTGTTCAAGGGCTTGTGTTGCTGACGAGGAGTTGAGCGTTGGGACGAATCCTTCAATGGCTGAGAGTCAAACTGGAAAGAAAGATAGAATTGAAAAAAATACAATTCCGGAGAGAGCAGAGAGTGCAAACGTTTTGAGATTACTATCATAACAACTTCTTCCTTTGCTCAGGCTAAGATATAACTTTGCTTTTGATGTTCAACATAAAGTGCAGCAAAGAAATTTTTTCATGTGTTATTAGAACTACGCGAGTAGTAGTATATGTACAATTGTACTTTCATAAACGTAAACGCGCCTATGCGAAATTTTAATGATTGAACGAAAAACTTGAAAATACTAAAGAACGACGAATGTTATGCGTCGATGATTGAAAATCAAAATACTGCTTCGCGTACAAATTTATTATTTCTTAAATCATTATTTCATTAAGTAAAGTTTAAAATGACCAAAGGTATTGAGCTATTTGAAAGCTATGGTTCAGGTCAGTCTCTTGATGTCTTATATAAAGCTTAGCAAAAATTGTCCCTTAGTATTGGTTGTAATCACTCACTGAATTATCAATCTATTTCAAATTCCAAAAATTAATTTTCAAATTCGGTTATGGAGCCTCATAAGTGAACGTCTTGTGTGTGTGCGTTGTAAAATGTAATTTACAGATTTTTTTTATCCCGAAAATTGTATGTGTGCCCTTTTGTAGGGTGGAAACAACATCTGCTTATTCTTTCCAGGTTTTGATTCCCAATATAGCAAATATTCCTCACAAAGAAGCCACTGCGAAAAAAAGTAAAAAAGCTTCTGAATGGCAAACAATCAGTTTCAAATTACATTCCAGCTATTGCGCAGGGACTTGGAAACTAATTTTTTGCGGAAAAAGGTTCTTCATTATGCGAGTCACTTTAACAAATTTCCAATGCAGTACCGTAAATTAAATATTTAAATTCCTTTCAAATTGCTTTATTTTATTTCCATTTTCGTGTGACTTTTCTTCCTTTTATTTCCATTCGCAAGAATCCTCGAAGCCCACGTTGGCAACCTCCCATTTGAATGAATAGAAAGGAATCAAGCCTGAGAAAAATCTATAGTGTCCAATATTCATCCAGAGAAAAGTTTCCAACCACTCACCCTATTCAACACAACGGTGGACGACGGAAACAGGTCCGAAGCCGGTGGCGGCGGCGGGAAAAACTCGGACCAATTTTGCGGCCCGGCTTGAGTGTCGCCAGCTACGGAATAATCCTCGTCGTCAGCAGCGAGCTGTTGACGACAGCCGACACCAGCAATCGACACTGACGGATATCCAGGCTTGTTATGGTGCACAGCGTTGCCAACGCCCCATCGAACAGAGTGATCGTCACTGTAATGACCAGCGTTATTCCCACTGCTGTTGACTGGCATCAGGTGCGGTGGCCCGCCGATTGACACCGAATGCGGTTTCCCGAACGAAATTCGGCCATTTTGAGCGTATTGCACGCGGCCATGTCGCAAAATGGCACCTCCTGGGAGAAATTTACTTGGGTGCGTGAATAACTTTTACTTTTACTGTTCAGTACTTGTATTCTAGCTCATTGTTCCCCGACCCATGATCCGCGGACCAGCGCCGAAGTTTTCGCCGGTCCGCGAAAATTTGTCTCCATAATGATAAATTTATTAAAAATAGCAATCAAATCTGTTATGTTTGTCTAAAATTCTGGAAAGACGACAATGGCAGTTGAAATTACCTTATGAAAATGAAAGTTGCCTTTCCTCCTAAAAACGTCTCAGGCAAATTTGCACCTGCTAAAATACATTATTTAATTTTTCATTCTGAGAAACCTTTCTTCAAGCCTACCTTTCTAATTTGTTGAATGCATTCCACCAAAGCTGCTTCATTGGTTCTTAACTTAATTTTTTGAAAAAATGGCAGAAACTATTTAGAAACCTGCTTCCATAAAGTCTTTCCAGCAAATATTTTTGAGTCTGCAAAAATTTTATGAAGCTTTGCTGGTGCGCAAAAATTTTACAGAAATTCTATGGTCTAGGCCCTAGGGGAAAAAAAGGTTGGGAACACGGTTCTAGCTAATTAAAGCCGCATTCTGATTCACGTAAAATTTTCAAGAAGGGAAAAGTATACAACTTGTATGCTGGAATGCGTGATGAAATTTTTCAACTCGTGTAGGCCGCGCCTAAGCTTTTTTGCAAACGTTTTTTGCGCATGATTTTTCCTACTTATTGTGACCGCATTCTCTATACTACATCATCATAAAGTTCAATGGGAACCTTTTTAATCAGTCGTCATGTTTGCAAAATATTGGAATAATCCTTTTAGAAATTCAGTGAAAATTGCTTTTAACTTCAAAACTCAGGATAAAACTTTGCAGAAGAAAACTGCACCGAATCTGCCCTTTGGCATGACAATGAAAGAGTCCAACATGCAAAAAATATTTGCACAATATATGCACAAAATTGGCCTGTTTCGAAAAATAAATTGAAGTAAAGTTGTCCTCAGATTAATTTTGACTCATTTTCAATGCCAGTAGCAAAATTTTCGCAGGATGAATGTTAATCGTGGAACTTATTTGCGTTTCTGGAAATTTCCTCATAATATTAAATGTATACAGCAGAGAGTGTATTTTCCTTATGTTGAAGTGGACTTTTTCAAGCTGAAAGTGGTCAATTTTTTTAGCCAATGTGTGAACTGACTTCCGAGACGCGCGATATTTTTTCATGAATTATAGTAAATTGCATAAAATAAATGAAATTTGTTTTGTTTGCATGAATACGGTTCATGTATCTCCTTGTCTGATCAGAATTGACCTCATCTAAGCTTCGTTTTTTTCTGTCTGCGATTTTCATCATTTTGCTAACCTTGATGCGGGTCGTAAAACTCTGACTGGTCTTCGTTGTTGAAGGTATAGCAGTATAACAAAGGCGGGATGCTCTGTATCAAAGTACTGTAATACTCTTTTTCCGTGGGATGACGAATGTGTTTCGCCTGTGGAATAAAGAAAGGTGTGGGTAATTTGTGGCTGGATCCCAGGGACAGTCTCGGGATTACTCCCTTGGGCCACGTCACACGGTGTTTGCTCATCATCTTGCGCATTGCATTGACCTCGCCCAGACGCGGTAGGAAAAGTTTTATGACTATTGCAACTGACCTGCGAAAAGTCCTTTGGGAGGGGCTCCAGTTTTCGCAACGGTTCGTTTCCCGGCCTTTCGCATCATAACAATTATATTTACTGTATATTTATATATTTTTTCTCTTTAGAGGTCCTTCCGAGTCCTAAAGACTACTCTCGAATGATGAGATACTTCCGGGATTTTCCGGGTTTATATCCTGGCGGGGGGTCCGAGATAATTTTGCTGCCTGGGTCTTATTTATCGCGCCATTAAACTTGACACATTTTTTCAATGAAGGGGATGGCTTTGAAAATCCGCATTACCTTATTGAAATCTCGCGAAACACTGTCGTTATTCCGTGATTTTTGTTTCCAGATAATTGAGTACAGTACATATGACGGGTTTCTCGGTATTATACAGTATTTCTATAAAATTTGTTTATTCGTGTTCATCACAGGAATGCGAAGGGTGGGAGCCAATTTTACTTCCTTTTTATTTTACAACATGTAATTTCATAGCGAGCAGTGAAAGCTGAGATAAAATGAAAATGTATTAAAGCAGCCTGGGATAATTTTTGGGGTATAATACGTACTGTTCAGGTATTTTAGTTCATTTTTGGTGGCTCTACTTGTTGGGCTTATTGCATACAGAATATTTTTCCAAAATATAATATTAATTTATTGCTTTTTCTTCCATTTTATTTTATTCTTCCTTAATTTTTCTTTAGGAGGCGAGATTTGTGGTGCATCGATTCAAAACATATCTACGTCTGACTGATTACGACAGTGCAGGATTTTAAAAACTTGCTTTCGAACGAATAAAGCGTGAATGGAATACAAATATATTTCATAAGTCTGTCTGTGTTTGATCTTCGAAAGACAATCGTGCTCCAGAAATTCTTTTGTGCGGCCTTTGAATAGGATATATGGAAGAATCGGCGTGACGAAAAAAAGATTGAATCCCGTGTACCAATTTCAGTGAAATTGAGGCTTTTTCTTCTTCTTGAAGCTCCCCGGAAAAGTAGGTCAGAAGAAACTAAGCCAACAAAAGCTGCAATCCCGGGGGGTAATTTCCTGGCCTTGCTCACTTCGCATAACCCCTTATTGCTCTACCCCTCATTCGTCACAAAAAAAGCGACGGCTTTATCCCTGCATGCTCACTGTGAAGAATGCATTCACACACACACACGAGAACTTTGGCAGGCGCAGGAAGAAAGCGGGATTGTATTGCTTTTTTCTCGCTTGCATAAAACGCCTTTTTTGGGGGGGGGGGGGGGGGGGGCTGACCTTAAAGTTTCCTTCGGAAGTTGGAGCATTTCTCTTGGGGAAAGCTCGACGAATTGTTTGCGCGTTTTCTTCTCGGTTAATCCATCGTGACAGATGTAGTCGGATTGAAACAAAAAATATATAATATTTCAAACAAGAGTTCGATTGCGTCAAGGAAACAAAATTTCGAAGTTTACTGATGAACTCGGCACGAATGTGGGAAGAACCGAAAAGTCGACGGACTCTTCAGAAGTTCTTTTGAAATTTAACGCATTTTCCGAAAGTTCGCATTCATTTATTCTGTGCCGTTTCTTAGTTTTTTTGTGTGTCGGATATCAGCTGATTGACCTGTTAAGCTATTAGATTTTAGAAATTATACATCTGCAGCGGTTGTTGAGAATTAAAAACGTGAATCGGAATCCAAACGTAATCATTTATTTAATTGACAGCTCAATACAATCAGCAATCGACAAGGCGGAATGTCGGGGTCATTCTTGTGTTCTTATCTTGACTGTGCTCTTTTTTCCAACATAATTTTAACCATGAATAAATTAAAAAATAAAATAAATTAAACTGACGGAGAGAAGAAAATACGTAAAGGTAGCATTTGCCTTTCAAATTGTTACAAGTTCGAATAAATTGCAGAAAAATTCTGAAGACATTTGCTCTCATTAAAGGATTATGCATCCCATAATTGTAGCCAGATTCTATGCTACATTCTCTCTGTTTTCTAATTAGCGCATTTAACTGTAAAGCGTAATTTTGATACTCATGAATTATTTTGAACTTTTTCGTCGCACGTTTTCGATGTGAACTCAGAGAAAAAGAAATAATAATAATAAAGCGTAAATATAATTCTCGACTGACGAAACGTCTGAAGAAACTCAATGATATTAACTGATGCTCCAAAAGGGCTCCGGAGTATAATTATAATTCAAGAAAGGGCTCCTCCAGTCAAGCATATTGAGAAAATGCTTCACAATTTTGTTTACGATCCGCTTTTAGACATTATCAAATTTCTGGGTTGAGTGATCCACTCGAGAGATGCCACACAAAACGCTCAAACGTAAAGCAAAAAACATACTGTACGTACATAATTTTACGCAGCAACCCGTAACTCCCTATAGACGCCAGGTGTTACGAACTATATCATAAATGAATGGTACGCATATTCCGACTATTTCCGTCCATCAACTATACCATTTGTTTCCCCTTTTTTATCCCATCCATTGCATTATTATTTTTTTTTTCGCTGTGGAACCTCACTCGCAATGTGTGGCCCAGAGTGGGCGCAATTGCATTCAGCCAAAAAAAGAAAAGTCAGTCGGGCCTGGCTGCTGATGTGCTGCCGGTCAGGAAGTCGGTGAATAGCTCCCTAGAGCCCCTTTGTATTCGCCTGCCGAGCCACGAGACCCATCACAGAGGGGTTTTCCTCCGAGCAGCAATGGAGTTATGACAGCTAAATCTCGGCAGAGGAATTTCTTTTCTTCTCCGCTGAGCCGGGTTGCTTCGGACAAGCTCCCAAAGGCCAGTGAGCTGTAGGAAGATACAGTACAGTACAGTGATGACCCCGGGTATAACAGACGCTTCGCATAACGTATATTATTNTATTTATCTTTTGCACAAGCATTCAGACAAGCGCTGAAATGGAATTTTTCTCCTCAAATACTATAACAAACACGACTCGAGTCCTGTCGCGCACAGAGCTGCTATTTCAGGAGCGTTTGTTCGTTCAATCTTCTTCGAGAGATATGCACTAGAATCCCTTTACAACGAAGCCATTTTTGGGACCAGTGGCAGTAAAGTAGCTTCGTTGTGACGAAAATTCGTTATGAAGTAACTCATTCAACGCTGTGGCTATTATAGGACAGGGGCAAAAAAAGAACGATTTCGTCGTTAGCAATTATTCGTTATGAGGAGATTCGTTGTACAGTCGAACCTCTCCATGCGCGAATTTTAAGGACCAGCAAGAAAATTCGATTTAGGGAAACAAGCATTTTTGTTATTGTAGATAGAAGAATTGCAAAAAATTATAAATGGTGAAATTCTGGGTCTTAAATTGCTCTTTACATGAGTTGATGTGATGCTGAATTTGAGACAAGGTTTCATTATCCCAATTATTCTTTTAATTCTTATCTCAGCACATCCTTTTTTTTTGCTGCTTTCCTCTTCCTGCATATCAATGCAACATTAGCCAAAAGGCCTCAGAAAATTCGAGTGACGCAGGTTCGAGAGGAAAAGCCTTCGAGGGATTTTTGATGCATCGTTTTCTACAAGAATTCACTTGAAAAATGAAATTCAGAATTCGGAGGTTCGAGTTATAGAGGTTCAACTGTAACGAGATTCTGGTGTATTTTACTCTGTTTTACAATTTTTAAACAGTGTCTGTCACCATTCAGCAGTGATATTAATTGAAATAATTTTTACAGCGATTTGAACTGAAAACGAGTTCACGATTTTTCTTTTCAAAAATTCTCCTTTGTTTCTTTTACGAGGATATTATTGCAAGTAAATTCATTCAAGCAGTCATTTTGGATTTGTTTATCATGCTTTTTAATTGGTCTGAGAAAGCTCTATGACTCTTTCGTTTACCTGAAGGACTGGTTTTTATTTTTCGCGATTTTCGAAGTCTTGGCCCCCAAAACTTCATTAGCACCTCAAAGCAGAGATGGCGGCCTTAATCATTGAAAACACAGTGGCTTTGCATTTTTTCGATCAACTTTTCCTTAAAAAAATGGCGTCCCCTCTGCATTTAGGGTCGAGCGGTGCCTGCATGCGTAGATACGTTAATTAATTCCAGTTGACATTTCTGGTTTATTTTTCCCCCCTAATTATGTGTGGACAGAATCTGAAAAGGTGCTTGGGCTCTGTTACCTGAACGACGGCAAAGAGCCGTACTGGATGGACCCAGAGTGGAAGTACGGCAACAACGCAGGCGCCCCGGAAGCCGAGAAGTTCCTGGACCCGCGGCGAACCACGGCAGGGGCGGACGACGCCAGTTCTTCTTCCCGAACCGGCGGCTCGTCCACGTCCGCCACCATGAACCACAGTGGCGCCAAGGGCACCCATGTCGGGCTCGTCGACACTGACACCAATGCGACGTCGGAGTCACCCGGAATCGACAGCAATCACCAGAACCGGGGCCGGCCTGTCGCTTCCAGTCCTGTTCCGTACGCGTCGTCCGACGTGTTTCAGCACAATGACGCCTTCGATGCTGGGAAGCGGAATCACGGCAGCTTGTCTAGCTTTGGTGGTGAGAGAAAAACCACATTCGATTTCCTCAGTTGAAAATCTTTAGAGGACATGCAGTCTCAATTTCAAAAATAATAAATAAAATTCAACAGCGGTATTCTCCATTTAAGACGATATTGAATTTTTCGCGAAACCCGTAAGTTATTTTACATATTACCAGGTCCTCGTTTAAAAAACAATTCCTGCGGAGCAAATTTTTTTTTTTTTATCCCATGATAGTCATAATGTGAAGTGAACCCACCTGTTACATGTGCTACATTGGCATACATTATAAAATCGGTGAAAAAGAAATCATTGAAGTTAGTCAATCATCAAAAGGGAGTATTAATTCCGGATTATCTAATCTTATTTTTAGTAAACCAGGATTGTTCAGACTACTCCGGTAATAAATAGGAAAGTGAGTCGAAATAAGCTGGAAATCATACTGAGTCTTTTGGTTTGTACAACATGATTTATT